CTGGTCCCTAAATTTGGGTTTCAATTTTGCGCCAAAGAGTACCATCCAAGCACCCGGGTCCCTAAGATTTGTGGGCCCAGGTTTTTGCTCCAAAGAGTGACTCGCAAGTCCGGTCCCTAAGATTTTGGTTCAATTTTTGCTCCAAAAGTGGACATCGCAAGCCCTGGTCCCTAAGATTTTGGGTTCAATTTTTGCTCCAAAGAGTCAAACCGCAAGCCCTGGTCCCTAAGATTTGGGGCCCAGTTTGTGCTCCAAAGAGTCAAATCGCAAACCCTGCTCCCTAAGATTTTGGGCACAGTTTTTGCTCCAAAGAGTCAAATCGCAAGCCCTGGTCCCTAAGACTTTGGGTTCAATTTTGCTCCAAAGAGTGACATCGCAAGCCCTGGTCCCTAAGACTTGGGGCCCAGTTTTTGCGCCAAAGAGTAAAATCGCAAGCCCTGGTCCCTTAGATTTTTGGGTCGATTTTTGCTCCAAAGAGTCAAATCGCAAGCCCTGGTCCCTAAGTTGTCGGGGTCGATTTGTGCTCCACAGAGTCAAATCGCAAGCCCTGGTCCCTAAGATTTCGGGGTCGATTTGTGCTCCACGGAGTCAAATTGCAAGCCCTGGTCCCGAAGATTTTGGGCCCAGTATTTGCTCCAAAAGGTGAAATCGCAAGCCCCGGTCTTTAAGATTTTGGGCTCATTTCTTGCTCCAAAGAGTAACATCGCAAGCCCTGGTCCCTAAGATTTTGGAATCGATTTTTTTTCTCCAAAGAGTCAGATCGCAAGCCCTGGTCCTAAAATGTTGGGCTCAATTTTTGCTTTTCCCTTCTCTTCTGCTGATAAAACACAAGAAAGGAACTCATATGATAAAGCAGTGGAAAGGTAAGCAGAGGGTGACTCCTTGCGCGTGAGCCTTTCCATAATACTCCATCATATTCATCCTCTCGGCCTATCTCTTCTGTTCCTTTCCTTACTCTTCTCCTTCTCATAGTTCTTCCTTTTTGTTTTTTTCATTTCGAAAAGAAAGAGGGAAGGGAGAAACAAGGGAGAGAGAATAGATAAAGAAGAGTGCCATCTTCTCTGCGCCTTGTTTTTTCTCTCCCTCTTCTCTATTCATCTGTCTTCTATTCTCTTCCTTGCTCTTCCCATTAAATATGCAATCCTTGGTATCTCTCCTCTCTCCTTCTCTCTTCCTCCAACAGATGTGCTTTTGGATCGTTTTCTGCATCTTCAAGCGAGAAAAAAGGACACAGACTGCGATTAAAAGGTCACGCCCATGTTGGATTGGCAGCAAGCCCAGCTGATGCTCATGATTCTCTCTCTTTCCCTACACATGGGCGATGGAACGGGTGTCCTTTTCAATCGTTTTCTGCATCTTCAAGAGAAACAGGGACACCCCACAAGAAGGAAAAGCAACATAAGAGATAGGGAGGGAAATTGACCCTTTCCTCTCTTCTTATCTGCTATTTTTCTTATTCGCTTCAACAAGCAACATAAGGGAAAGGGGATTTCCTGAAGAGGAGAGAGGGAACCTATCTGTGAAAAGCAAGAATGGTTTTTTCTAGTTCGAAAGGGAATAGGGAGAGACAAGGGAGAGATGATATGTACAGCTTTGCGCCTTATTTTGTGATTCCGTCTCTTTGCTTCCTGTCTCTTCTATTCCTTGCAGCACGCTTCGGGAAACATAGCATCCTTGTTATCTTTCCTCTCTCACTTCCCTTTCCCTTCTCTTCTTCCGCTTCCTTTTAACTGATAAAACACAAGAAAGGAACTCATATGATAAAGCAATGAAAAGGTAAGCAGAGGGTGACTCCTTGCGCGTGAGCCTTTCCATAATACTCCATCATATTCATCCTCTCGGCCTATCTCTTCTGTTCCTTTCCTTACTCTTCTCCTTCTCATAGTTCTTCCTTTTTTTTTTTCTCATTTCGAAAAGAAAGAGGGAAGGGAGAAACAAGGGAGAGAGAATAGACAAAGAAGAGCGCCATCTTCTCTATTCATCTGTCTTCTATTCTCTTCCTTGCTCTTCCCATTAAATATGCAATCCTTGGTATCTCTCCTCTCTCCTTCTCTCTTCCTCCAACAGATGTGCTTTTGGATCGTTTTCTGCATCTTCAAGCGAGAAAAAAGGACACAGAATGCGATTAAAAGGGACGCCCATGTTGGATTGGCAGCAAGCCCAGCTGATGCTCATGATTCTCTCTCTTTTTCCCTACATATGGGCGATGGAACGGGTGTCCTTTTCAATCGTTTTCTGCATCTTCAAGAGAAAAAGGGACACCCCACAAGAAGGAAAAGTAACATAAGAGATAGGGAGGGAAATTGAAGAACTCCTCATTGTACTTGGTCATTCCCTTTCCTCTCTTCTTATCTGCCCATTTTCTGTGCGCCTTGTTTTGTCTCCCCCTCTTCTCCCATCATCTCTCTTCTGGTCTTTTCTTTGCTCTTCCCATTAAAAATGCAACCCTTTTTATGTCTCCTCTCTCCTTCTCTCTCCCTCCTCTTCTCCTGTTCCCTTCTAAACGACAAAAACGCAAGAAAGGAAGAATAAGAGGGGAATGGAGGCCCTGTTCCTTTTCCTCTTTCAATGGATGGGGGAAGTGGGCGGAGTTGGCCCCTTGCCCGTACACCCTCCCCATGCTTCAGCAAACCCCTCCTCTCGCCCTATCGCCTCTGTTTTTTTTCCTTGTGCCCAAACGGAAAACGAAAACGGGTTCCTTTATATGTTCATTGTCCTTCCTTTTGTTTTTTTATTTCACTGGGAAAAGAACCAGAGAAGAGGAAGATAAGAACGAGAGGTGAGATGAAAACGGCACCATCTTCTCTTTGCCTTATTTTTGCACCTCCCTCTCCTGTCTTAATTTCTCTTCCACTCTTTTTTTTCCATTGCTCTTCCCATAATATTGCATTCCTTTTGATAACTCACAGGAAATTAAAATGGCCTCCTTGTTGTCTCTCCTCTCTCACTTCCCTTTCCCTTCTCTCCTTCTGTTTCCTTTAATTTTAACTGATAAAACACAAGAAAGGAGCTTGTAAAATCAAGCAGTGGAAGGGTAAGCAGAAGGTGACTCCTTGTGCGTGGACCTTTGCCGTACTTCACCATACCCCTCTTTTCGGCCTATCTCTTCGGCTCTTTTCCTAACCCTTCTTCTTTTCATCTTTCTTTTTGTTTTTCTCATTTCGAAAAGACAGAGGGAACGGAGAGATAAGGGAGAGAGGATAGATAAAGAAGAGTACCATCTTCTTTGCGCCTTGTTTTATCTCTCTTCTATTCTTTTCTTGGCTCTTCCCATGAAAATCGTGTTCCTCTTATCTTTCCCTCCTTCTCTCCCTTCTCTTCTCCTCACGAGAGCCTTCGACTTTAGGATTGAGGAGAAAAAGAGAAGAGAAAAGAGGAACTACCTGGTTCTTGTTCCTGAGGCCTCCATAGTACGACTGACGTGACAGCAGCGTACCCTCGTGGAAACGTGTATGGCTATAAGAAAACCCGAGTCCCAGCTTCCAAATAGACCCTATTTAAGCCACCCACCCCCCCCCCCCCCCCCCCCCCCCCCCCCCCCCCCCCCCCCCCCCCCCCCCCCCCCCCCCCCCCCCCCCCCCCCCCCCCCCCCCTCCCTCCCCCCCCCCCCCCCCCCCTCCCCCCGCGTGTACCCCGCTTTACAACCAGAACCCCCACTTTACAACCAGAATCCCTACTTTACAACCCAGAAGCCTTTCCAGAATCCCTACTTTGCAACCGGTTGCGAAAGCTTCTTAACAACCCAATTAACTGATAACGTCAACGCTTAGAATCTCCAGCATCATCCCTTACGGCAGCCATGCAGGTTGGAAAGTGATGCCGGTTGCAATGTGGGCGTTCTTAACCCGAATCCACGACAGATATGTGTGTGTGTATATACACATGAAAGCCAATACATGAACCCCAAATTTTATTACATTTGATGTTGTATTTATGGTTTTAGGCCATACAAGTACTTTCAAGAAAAAGTTTCCGTTCTTGTGTGTTTGTTTTAGGGAAAGCACACAAAAAAGCTTTTTAGAAACCCAAACCACCAACCCACAACAAGCAAATCTGGGAGTGCAAAAGACATGAAAATGCAACCAAATTCCTACCCTCGCACTCCACAGCACCTCGCTTGGCGGACGGACGCTTTTTCTCACCAGCGTGGACGTTGTTTGAGTCATTTTAATTTGATGTTGCACTTATGGTTTTGGGCCATACAAGTACTTTCAAATAATGACTTTCCGTTCTTGTGTGTTTGTATCGGGGAAAGCATACAGAAAAAATGATTTTTTGAACCCCAACCCACCAACCCACCACAGGCAAGGCTAGGAGTGCGAAGCGCATTAAAACATAAGCAATTCCTAAATCAGCCCAAAAACAAAATTGTGAAAGAAGAAACGCTTTTTAACATTCGGGGAAAGACGAGACACAAAGATAACAATAAACACAATGGGGTGCGTTCCTTTTTAAACACAGACCTACCTAAACCAAGCCACGACAACCTGCGTCGGGTGAAGGCCCCATATGTTAGACACTTGAGGGAGTCTCGAGGAACCAAACTATTTGTAAAAACTCATGAAATCCCAATAGGTCTTAATCATAGGTAGACGGGTTGCAAAGTGGGCGTTCTCAGGATCGGCAGTTGTAAAGTGGGGATTCTCACACCGGAAACAGTGCCTGTGGTTGTAAAGTGGGGATTCTGGTTGTAAAGCGGGGATTGTGGTTGTACAGCGGGTTAATCTCCCCTCCCCCCCCCCCCCCCCCCCCCCCCCCCCCCCCCCCCCCCCCCCCCCCCCCCCCCCCCCCCCCCCCCCCTCCACCCCCCCCCCCCCCCCCCCCCCCCCCCCTCCCCCCCCTCCCCCAGCCCTCCCGCCTCCACCTCCCCCCCCCCCCCTCCCCCCCCCCCCCTCCCCACCCCCCCTCCCCAAAAAAAAAAAGCTCCAACACTCAACCCTGAACCCCACACCCTGAACCCTAAACCCTAAACCTTAAACCCCAGCACCTCCCCAAAAAAGGCTCCGCCTGCTCTTGTTGGCCACCTAGCCACCGCGGACCCGCCAAAGCTGCGAAACACCGCATCTCGGCCCATGACAGCGATCCTGCGGAGTTTAGGGTTTAGGGTTTAAGGCTAGGACCAGTAGGGATATAGGGTTTCGAGGTTCTTGGAGAGATATGATTTAGGGTTTCGGTAAAGGGATATACGGTTTGGAGGTTATAGGGGATTGAATGGGGGTTTAGGAATGTAGGGTTTACGGGTTAGGATTAGTAGGCTACAGGGAGCTTAGGAGAGTTTGGGGTTGTGGGTTCAGGGTTTCGGGTTTTAGGGTTTGGGTATGAGGGTTTGAATGTAGGGTTTGGGGTTTAGGGTTTAGGCTTTAGGGTAGAACAGGGTTTCGGGGGTTTTTGTAGTACAAACGTATGGAGACCATGAGGGAACACGATTAAAGGAATTTTTCGACCCCTACATTACAAGGTTTGCACCCTACGAACCTCGAGCCGAAACTGAGTGTTTGGGGCTGCGGGTTTAGGGTTTAGGGTTTATAAGCTTAGAAGTTTTAGGGTTAAGAGTTTAGGGTTTAGGGTTTAGGGTTTAGGGTTTAGGGCGAGGGTTTAGGGTTTCGCGCTTCGGGTTTGGGGTTTCGAACCGCACACAAAAACCAGGCGCCACCCGGGGAAAATCCGCCGGCGGCCCCTGCGGCCGACTGGAAGAAGCACAGCTCTGGTGCGGTTTCGGATAGCTGCTCGGCAGTCTTAAGGTTTTTAGGGCGGTGTAGGGTTTAGGGTTTAGGGTTTAGGGTTTAGGGTTTAGGGTTTAGGATTTAGGGTTTAGGGTTTACGGTTTAGGGGTTAGGGTTTAGGGTTTAGGGTTTAATTGGGGTTTAGGGTATAGGGTTAAGGGTTTAGGGTGTAGGGCTGGACCCTGAACCCCAGGCCTGTAAACCCCTAGATCCCGCACCCGCGACCTTGAAACTCTGAACCCCTCAGCGCCAGGCCCCCGGTAATCTGAACTCCAATCCCTGAACCCTAAACCCTAAACCCTAAACCCTTAAGCCTAAGCTGAAATCCCCGACTTGAAGCTGCTATTCAGCGCTTCTTCGTCGGGTTTTCTCTGTGGTGCTTTACTGTAACTTTAGATCCTTAGCCTTTTTGGGTTTAGGGTTTAGGGTTGAGGCTTTCGGGTTTAGGGTTTGTTTCTTAATATTCAGCTACAAGTTAAATTTATCGCTACCCTGCTAAGTGCAGCCAAGTTTTCTGGTGCTTTGGGCCCTTGGGTTCAATCAGGGCTTCAGGGCTTGAGACCTTCAGGGTGTCAGGGGCAGTATGGGGTGGTGTCTCGCTAGGGGTTGGCGCATCTATGCTTTCAGCGGAGATTCAAAACTCTCAATATAAGCCCCCGAACATGAAGTCCTGTAAGTAATCCACATAGAACGACCGGTAGTGCCCAAACCACCCGAACTAACCCCTGATAGCAGTCTACGCCTGCACAACGACACCGCCAGTAGGTGCTCAAGGGGCTGTGTCGTTGCCTGTGGCGGTGTCGTGGCAGCAAGGGGGGATATAGGGCTTCAGGTAAAGGGATGTAGAGGGCTTTGGGATAGCAAGTGTTTAGAGTGGAGGGCGTGGGGAGCTTTACTTTACGCTTGGGTTGTTTCTTTCACTAGATTTCTACAAGGTTGGAGAGCTTAGTCTTGTAGGGGATCGGATTTTGACACCCAGGTTTTGGTACTTTATACCTAAGGCTTTGCGTGGGAGATGCCGAGTTGAACTCCAAGACCCTGGCAAGTCCAACCCGCCATCCCCGCCCAACGCCCGCGAATGCATCCTTGGAGACCCCAACAACATTCTTGAAGAGTTCGCCGCAGTCGCCAAACCCTAAACCAGAAACCCCGAACCCTGAATCCTGAACCCTAAACCCTAAACCCTAAGCCCTAAACCCTAAACCCTAAACCCTAGACCCTAAACCCTAAACCCTAAACCCTCTCGCGCGTGCTCAGGCGACAGCCCTGGCGAGGCCGGCCGAAGCAGCGACCGCTGCTGAGCTCCTCTACAGATTGAGAGGGCATGTTTGGGGAGCCCTGATCGGGGGCATTTAGGGTTTAGGGTTTAGGTTTAGGGTTTAGGGTTTAGGGTTTAGGGTTTAGGGCTAGGTAGTCTTACCTGGACTTCGGGTTGAGGGTCGGGGGGTTCAGATGTTTGGGAATGGCCCTGTTGGGGCTCAGGCTTTAGGCTTTAGGCTTTAGGCTTTAGGCTTTAGGGTTTAGGGTTTAGGGTTTAGGGTTTAGGGTTTAGGGTTTAGGGTTTAGTGTTTAGTCTAAAACTCCCGAACCCTGAGCGCAAACCGCCTGGGGGCCTGGGGCTTCAGGGTTTTCAGGATTTTGGGGCTCCAGCGACTTCGATTTTAGGACTAGGCTTCCGTCTGAATGCAACCTTGTACCCTAATACTCCCAGGGTTTTGGGTTTAGGATTGAGGGTTTAGAGTTAGGGTTTAGGGTTTAGCGTTGGCATAGGTCCCAAAATCCTGAGCCCTAAACGTGGGTCCTGCGGCAATTATTCTTCCAAAGCCTAAACCCCGGTCTAAACCCGATGAAAACCCTGTCAAAACATTACTGGGGCCCGAACTCTATGCAGGCTCCAACACCCCAAACATAGAAACGACATGTAATTTCCTTAAAAGACACCCGGTCAAAACTTTCGTTCAAAGCGTTAATGGGACCCAAACCCTATACAATTTCTATAAACCCCAGACCCCAAACCCTAAGCCCGAAACCCTAAGCCAAGACAAACACCTTACCAGAAGCATCTGCCCTTAACCCTAAACCCTCTGGGGCACCAGGCTCTCGATCGTGTTCATGTTGTCATTTTCCTCAGCTGCGCACCCCCCCCCCCTGACACCCTAAACCTTACATCTTTAACCCTAAGCCCCTAAACCCTAAAACCTGTAACAACCCAAAACCCTAAACCAAAACATCAAGAAATCCACACCCACTCAACACTCAACGAGTTCAAGATAAAACGTTATAATGAGAATTGTTTTTTCCTCTCATCCTCCCTCCCCTCTCCCCCTAACCCCCCTAAAACCGCCCCTTGAACTTAAGACCTAAACCTCAACACCCCAAAAGCCAAGCAGTCCTTCGAGAAAAAGGGGTTTTTTGGGGGCCATCTTAAATCGCAATACACCTATCGGGGGAAGGGATTTTTAATCCGGCTCCGAAGCCCTGAAATCCCAATAAACCTCTCGGGGAAAAAGAATCTCGGTCACACCCGTCTAAGACCCTAAACTAAACCCTGAACCCTGAACCCTGAACCCTGAACCCTGAACCCTGAACCCTAAACCCTAAACCCTAAACCCTAAACCTAAACCCTAAACGCATCCCATGAGCCAACCATGTGTCCATGCAGGGCTGCCACCGCAGCTGCTGCCCCAAATCTGGGCCAGGCAGATGCCCCACAGGCCCAAAACGAACACAAATTTGGGTTTGGGGTTTAGGGTTCAGGGTTTAGGGTTTAATTAGGGTTTAGGGCTTGGGGTTTAGGGTTTAGGGTGTTGGGGTTTCGGGCTTAGGGAATAGGGCTCAGGGTTGAACCATCATCCATAAAAGCCCGAAAACCCCTAAGTCTGCAGCACCTGGTCCCTACTGCGAACCCCGCCCAAACCCTAAACCCCAAACCCCGAAACCCTAAAACCTAAACCCACTACCTTCAGCGCGGGCCACAGCTCCCCACTTGCTCCGGTGCCCCCATCGCTTGCCAATTGCTGCAACATGGCGCCCAAGTTTGCAGCTGCACCCATCCCTCGTGGTTTAGGGTTTAGGGTTTAGGGTTTAGGGTTTAGGGTTTAGGGTTTAGGGTTTAGGGTTTAGGCCCGTGCACCCACCCCTCGTGTGGCCGAGGTGGTCAAGTTGGACCGTAGTAGGTCACGCACGGCGCTTGCCTGCTAATTCAGGCTCTCTTTGCTTACAGTCTTATGGGTTATGCCTACCAATTCAGGTGAAGCTCCTGCAAAACTGTAGGTAACTAGAGTCTCAGGAATGCTTCCTTACGCCTCCGAAGCCTTCTACCCGAAACCCATAACGTAAACCCACCCAACAAAAAGAAAAAAACACCTCCGAATTCAAAAGCCCATTAATTAGGAGAAAAAAAAAGCAGGCTTCGTTCCGGGTTTTGTGATGGTTCACGGCTTTAAAGGGGGTGCCAGACCTTATACAGTATGTAAATCCTTAGCCCGAATCCCCTAAACCCTAAACCCCAAAGCCCCTGCCTTTCAGGAGACTGAGGACAGCTCCGACGACAGCGACTCTGCCACCAGCTGCCCGGATGCAGATTTTTGTAGGGGTTTAGGGTTTAGGGGTTGCGGGCTGAGGGGTTCCGAGATGGTTTAGAGGTGTTTCGGACTGATGGCTTTTTAGACGGTTTAGGGGTTAGAGGTTAGGATGTATGGGTGCGGTCAGCAGGTTAGCAGTGGAGCATTGCGGGCTCGGTGAACCACAGAAGGGTTTGGTGATCAGAGTTTGGGGTTTCGGGCTAATTAGGGTTTGGGGTGCAGGGTTTAGGGTTTTTACCTGGCTTGGGGGCAAAATGAACCTGCAAATGGCTTTGGAGGTTGTTCTACTGGTCCTTGTCAAGGGATGGACCATTGGGACATGAGTTTTGTGGAGAAAGGGCAGTCCATAGTCCTGATTAAATTACAAAGGCATCCTGCCAAATGGCTACTTTGCAGACAGCCATTGTGAGCATCTCTCCAGGGTTTGGTTGCATCTAGGGTTTAGGGCCCCCATGCATGGTCCTAAAGCCCGCAACAAGGGATTCTAGGAGCACGATCCCAATTTTCAGGTTCCTGTGGTAGCCCAAACCCTAATACCCTAATACCCTAATACCCTAAACCCTAATACCCTAAACCCTAAACCCTAAACTTTGGCCCTAAACCCGAAATCTGAAGCTAGGAGAATCCTCTCGAAGTTTCACCTGGGCCGGCCCTTATGCTCTGAGCCCCCTACACCTAAAGCCCTGAGCCCTGGATCTTAAACCCCAAACTCACTAGGGTTTAGGGTTTAGGGTTTAGGGTTTAGGGTTTAGGGTTTAGGGTTTAGGGTTTAGGGTTTCGGGCTCAGGCCTATAGACCCTAAGCCCTAAAAGTCATGGAGCCAATGACCCTACACCCTTAAGCCTGCAGACCATAGACCCTGAACCCTGGACCCTAAACCCTAAACCCGAAACCCTAAACCCTAAAACCCTAAAAGCCTAAGCCCTAAACCCTAAACCCTAAAACCCGAAAACCCTAAACCCTAAAACCCTAAACCTTAAACCCTAAAATCACGGAGCTCCCCCAGCTGAAGGTTCAGAGCCTTCTGCGCCCCCCGAAGGGGGCGACGGTGGCGACGGCTCGCCGCAGGCTCCCAAGCAAAGTGCGAGTTTGGTTTGGTTTTGGGCTTAGGGCTTAGGGCTTAGGGCTTAGGGCTTAGGGCTTAGGGCTTAGGGCTTAGGGCTTAGGGCTTAGGGCTTAGGGCTTAGGGCTTAGGGTTTTAGGGTTTTAGGGTTTTAGGGTTTAGGGCTTTTGAGTTTTTGGAGTTTCAGGGATTTAGGGTCATAAAGCCTCACAAATTTAGAACCCAATTAAACCCTAAACCCTAATAACCCTAAACCCTAAACCCTAAACCCTAAACCCTAAACCCTAAACCCTAAACCCTAAACCCTAAACCCTAAACCCTAAACCCTAAACCCTAAACCCTAAACCCTAAACCCCAAACCAACCTCGGAGTGTCTGCGTGGAAGGCCTCAGCTGCCAGAAGCGTCCTCCATCGAGGCCGCAGTTCGCTACCTGGGCGCCTGGAAGAGGCCCTGAGGGTGGTTTAGGGTTTAGGGTTTAGGGTTTAGGGTTTAGGGTTGAGGGTTGAGGGTTGAGGGTTTAGGGCTTGGTTCAGGGTGTAGGGTTTGTGTGGGGTTCTTGGGGGTTTTTTGGGGGCTTGGGGTGGCTTAGGGCCCGCTTGGTGGCATGTAGCGGCGTTTGCAAGGGGATCAGAGTTTAGGGTTTATAGGGTTTGGCAGTCTAGGGTTTAGTGTCTACACGCATTTTCAGGGTGCTGGAAGAGGGTGGTGATTAGGGTCGAGACTGGTTGAGAGCTTAGGAGGCTAGGCGGCTAGGGCTTGTAGAGGTTTTGGGGGGGGTGGATAGGGTTTTCAGGTGTTTAGCTACCCTTGAACGCGGACGGTTTCGGGGAGAAGCCAGTTCAGCGCCTGTTTGAGACTTAGCTTCAGGGGATATAGAGCCGCAAGCCAAATTAAATCCTAGACCGAATCGGACCTCAACACTCAACCCCATGAGACCCAGAGCTCAAAACCCATACGACCAAACCCACAACTTTGGGATGTTCCCCCACATGTACTCACAGTCCTTACTAGGGATTGTAGTAACCCCCTATTCTAATCCCTATTGAGGACTAGTCCCTATCAGGGGGACGAAACCCTAAACCCTAAACCCGAAACCCGAAACCCTAAACCTTAAACCCACAGCGATGTGTTTCAGAGCTGCGAATCCTGTACCTTCACGAGGCACCCCGCGCGGGCAGCCTAAGAATGGGCTCTGGCCCAATGCGCGCGGGGAGTCTTTCCTTTAAGGGCCCGGCTCCAAAGGCGTTTCTTGGCTGATTTTAGGGTGTGGGGTTTAGGGTTTAGGGTTTAGGGTTTAGGGTTTAGGGTTTAGGGTTTAGGGTTTAGGGGTGTACTTGCAAAGGGTGCAGGTGCTCTTCTCTAGACCCCCCGCAGTCGCATCTGCAGCAACCCTGAACCCTAAACCTATGGGGTCTAAACCAACGGGGTACTCCGATCCTTTGAATACGAGGCCTGTGAACCTTAATGAAACCCCAAACCCTAGACCCTAAATCCCAAGCCCTATGGACCTTAAACCCTAGGCCGATTGGAGCCTTTCTCCTAAGCCCTATTAGACCTTAAACCCTAAATCGAATTGAAGTGGGGCCTTGCTTGTCAGGTGTATATATATATATATATATGTTTATTTATTTATTTATATCTATTTATTTATTTTTATATATCTGATCCTACTCCCTAAACCCTAAACCCTAAACCATGAACTTGCCTCCTAAACCCTAGAATGCAGCGTGGTTCGGCTGGGGCCCGCCGGTCACCAAGCTCTGCGGCGGCCTTGACGCCAATGAGTCATATGGGTTGGTGGTCTCTTTACGTAGGGACTCTGCTTTACGGGGCATATATTTACTTCTGAGTTCTCATTAGGGTATCTAGGGGCTATTGTTAGGGTATAAGGGTAGCAGATAAAGAGGCCACCGGCCGTTATGACCAATGAGTCAACAAGGACGGAGTGCGTCCTGTAGTAGATAGGGCTGACAGCCCTTGCCCTAAACCCTAAACCCTTGTCTAAACCTCCAGGTTTTTGTTTCGGGGCTGTTTGGAGCCTTGATAGGGTTCCCTAAACCCCAAACCCTAAACCCCAACCCCGGGTTTTTGTTTGCGGCGGTTTGGAGGCTGATAGGGTTGATTTGGAGCTGTGGTGTAAACCCTAAAGCCCAAACCCCAACCCCTAAACCCTAAACCCTAAACCCTAAACCCTAAACCCTAAACCCTAAACCCTAAACCCTAAACCCTAAACCCTAAACCCTAAACCCTATAAACTATAAACCCTGAACCCTATTCAGTAATCTCTGTTGAGCTTGTGAGACTCGGACTGCCGCACGGCTACATTCATCATTGTTCTTCATCCCGGCAAGGATGGGCCCTTTACCCTATAATCCTGAAGGGTTTAGGGTTTAGGGTTTAGGGTTTAGCGGTTAGGGTTTAGGGGTTAGGGGTTATAGGGGTTAGGGGTTAGGGTTTAGCAGCAGTCCCTTTATAGGTTTGATGAGTTGGCTTGGAAGGCCCACGCACGTAACGGAAGGCTCGTTGCAGGTGTTCTGGCGCAAGCTCCTCATGTGGCTTCGCGCCGACTCACCCGACCATATATATGTAGACAGGGCGGCCAATGGCGTTACAGGACGCGGCAGATGATGCCGCGAGGGGCTTACGATGGATGACTGGTGATGACATGACACTGGTTCTCAATCGGGCTGAAAGTATCACCATCACATCGGCTGGTCCAGTCGCAGCTCTTCCCATGCCTTTTCTTGGCACAAAGGCAGTCGTGCATGAGACTGCTGGAGCTGCCATGAGGCAAGTGGCTCGGTAGGCCCATCTTATACTTTCTCCTAGTTAGTGGGTTTAAGAGGATCATATTCAGGAATATTTTTCAGAGTGTTTTGAAGGGCAATCCTAGGTGGTAATTGAAGGCATCAAGAGCATTAGCGGCGTTTGCATCGGCGCGGTAGCTGCTAAGTTCGCAGTAGCTGGGGCCGGTGTGGCAGTTGCAGTTGCTTGGAAGCCCAGTGGTACGCTTTACACATTTTTTTGGTTCAAGGTTCCCTTACAATGAAAGCAACCAACTTCCCGTATAATTAACGTAACCACCCCCCAAAAAAATATAATAAATAAATAAATAAATAAAAATAAAAGGAAGGGTGCCCGTATTGTGAGATGGTTTCTGGGCCACCAAGGTTGCAACTCCCCTCATCGTCGGCTTCTGCGAGGGCTTCGCCAGTCCGAATTTCCGACTTATGCTGGGAGAGATGAAAGGATCCATGAACCCCAAGAACCTTGGGATTCCCCAGTGGTGCCCTTTTCTTTTGCCCCCTGCTTTCTTTGGGTTATGAAGTTCTTCTTAGAAAGCAGCCAACCTTCCAAAAAGGGTACCTCTAACCCTAAACCCTGGACTCTAAACCCTACACCCTAAGCCCTAAGCCCTAAACCCTAAATGAGTATGTCCTGGTTACTGGGCTACCAAGGAACTCTCTCCTCCAGCCGAAATTCGCTCTTCTAGCAGAGCAAGGAATTGACAATGTGTTTGTCTACTTTTTTTCGTGCAAGGACGACGTGGATGTCGCGAAGCACAACTTCATGTCTGCCCGCATCATCTGGGAGCTTCGCCCCGGAGCAGCAAGAGAGATTGAGAGAAGAGGATTTGCAATGCCGTTCCCAACTATCCGAGCTGCTTTCCTTAAGCTCATACAGCAAGCGCACGAAATGAATGAGATGTATGAGATCTCAGAAGCGCAGTGAACCGTTCGTTGACCCAGCTAATCTTCTGCGCACAGCGTATCTTCCGGACCACCTGGTCCTCTCCCTGTAGTTCGATAACCGCAACGTCGGATTTTTGTGGCTATTTTCCTGCTGTGCGAGCAGAGATGTGCGAGTGTCTACCTTGAATCCAGCTGCGCGCGTCTGAGAAAACTGAGAAAATTGAGGATTTGGGTTGAGGGGCTTAGGGGTGCAGCATGTGCCTGCAAGCAAGTTTGTGAGCAATTGCTTCCATACATAATCTTCTTCTGCACTTAGCCTACTCAGGAGACGTTCCTCAACCCTAACTAACCCTAAACCCTCAACCCCAACCCCCAACCCCCAAACCCTGCACTGCGCCCAATCGAGGGCACTCAAGTGCTCCCACCCAGGCTGGTGACCTCCCTGAAGGGGAAGGATACCGCAGGGCGGCCAGCACAGTGAAGAGTTGCGGGTGTAGGGTTATTAGGGTTTAGGGCTACAGGGTTTAGGGCGTAGGGCATGGGAGCTTCTAGGGTTTGAGGTGTATTGCGAGTTTCGTTTCGGTGCTTTCAAGGTGTCAGGGCTAAGGGTTTAAGAGCACGTAAGAAGGCTCAGAAGGTGAGGGTTTAGGGTTTAGGGTTTAGGGTTTAGGGTTTAGGGTTTAGGGTTTAGGGTTTAGGGTTTAGGGTTTAGGGTTTAGGGTTTAGGGTTTTTTAGGGTTTAGGGTTTAGGGTTTAGGGCACCTGGTTGCTTGGCCGCTTGGCCGTCCAGTTAACGAACTCCTTCTGCTGTGCGGCAGCGGCGAAAAAAGTGTGCAGGTTTGGTCTGGAGCTCCGCATCTCTAATCCCAAACTCTAAACCCAAAACCCGAAACCCGAAACCCGAAACCCGAAACCCTAACCTTCCGAACCTCCTTCATCCGAAGATGTTAAGCCATATCAGTCCTTGGCTCCCTAAGCCTCCCTAACCAGTTCCACTTGGGCAGTGTTTAGGGTTTAGGGTTTAGGGCTTATAATAGGTTTTAAGGTTTAGGGTGTAGGTTTTAGGGTTTAGGGCTTAGGGTTTGGGGTTTAGGGCTTAGGGTTTAGGGTTTACGGCTAAGGGTTTAGGGTTTGGGGTTTGGGGTTCAGGGTTCAGGGTTCAGGGTTTGGGGTTTAGGGTTTAGGGTTTAGGCAAGTTGCTGGGCTGAGCCCCGCGAAGGTGCTCAACACCTCCCCTTTCTTTGGCACAGCGGCTTCTGGACAGGTTCTGAGCTCAGCCGAAGCAGTTTAGGGTTTAGGGTTTTAGGGTTTTAGGGTTTTAGGGTTTTAGGGTTTTAGGGTTTTAGGGTTTTAGGGTTTTAGGGTTTTAGGGTTTTAGGGTTTTAGGGTTTTAGGGTTTAGCGTTTTGGGTTTAGGGGTTTGGGGTTTAGGGGCTTGGGGTTTAGGGGTTAGGGGTTTTAGGGTTTTGGGGTTTCGGGTTTAGGGGTTTTTGGGACATGAGGTGTTCAAACACGCTGGGGGGGAATGTCTTACCACAGGGGGTGGTGTTGGGGGGGCCTCAAACGATCCTTACTACCCTGGTTCTTGTAACCCTAAACCCTAAACCCTAAACCCTAAACCCTAAACCCTAAACCCTAAACCCTAAACCCGGGGTTCAGGATTTTGACTGCACTAGGGTGTATAGGGCTTATGGGGCTCAAACGAAAGGCCAAAACCCTGTACTCTTAAACCCTTCTATGAACCCGAACCCACCCTTAAGAACCCCTCCATGGACCCGAACCCTAAACCCTAAACCCTACACCCTAAACCCTAAACATCCAGTCTCTCAAGCGTTCTACTCAGGTTCGACTAGACAGCCTCAAACTTAAAGTCTAGCCCTTAAATTCTCAAGCCGAAGCCGCCTTTATGAGTTTTGGGGTTAGGGTTTAGAGTTTAGGGTTTCTGTTTGGGTTTAGGGTTTAGGGTTTAGGGTTTAGGGTTTAGGGTTTAGGGTTTAGGGTTTAGGGTTTAGGGTTTAGGGTTTAGGGTTTAGGGTTTAGGGTTTAGGGTTTAGGGCGGCCGTCCTGTGTGTCCTCTGGCCACACAGACCGCTGTTGATGGAGCCGTGGTGCTGACAAAGTGGTCCCGACGCACGGGGTACTTGTCTGTCATCGGCAGGTGCCAACCATGGCTACTGCGGTCGCACTCTTGGCCGAGAACTCCATGGACACTTTCGATCCTGTTTCTTCTTTGAAGGCAACTGCCCGCGACAATTCTTACTTGCTGCGCCTTGCGGAGGGCCCGTCCTGGTCTCTGGCATGGCCGAAAACACTCAATGTCAAAGGGGGAGCTGTTAGCGAAATAGTCAAAACACGGAAAAGCATGGGGGGGAGCCGTTAGCAAAAGATGGTCGACATTAATTCATCAAAATCAAGAGGGAGCCGCTCGCAAGATGGTGAAAAAACACCCAACAGCAACATCTATGGTCTAGGGACGGTGCATATTTCTTCGACTAGCAGGCGTTTGGTTCGGGTTGGTGGTAGCACTAAACGCTTGTCGCGAAACCCAAAAAATAGCGCCTGAACCTTAAACCCTAAACCCTAATAAACCCTACTCTTGTTTACCATAGGCACTGAGAGGGGGTTTAGGGTTGAGGGGTACTAAAAGGATCTTCATGGGAACCCCAAACAGGGAGCCCCAAGAAACATAGTAGGAATATAAATGGGCATATACACACCCTGGTAGGTATGTTCCGATTATGTTCCTACTACATTTTTTGGGTTCCCTGTTTGGGAAAGTCCCTCTAGTTAAGGCTTCAAAGTCTGCTTCTAGGGCCATTCAACGACCCCTAAACCCTAAACCCTAAACCCTGAACCCTGAACCCTAAACCCTGAACCCTAAACCCTGAACCCTAAACCTTTGAGCCAGCCAGGTGCAAAGCTCGCCATCCGTATCCGCGCAGAGGCCAGCTGGCCGGATGAAATGTTTAGGGTGTTCAGGGTTTAGGGTTTAGGGTTTTAGGGCTTAGGGTTTAGGGTTTAGGGTTTCCCTCAAGTGCTGGCTGAGTGACTTTTATGGTTTAGGGCTTCGGTCGTCTTGTAGTTGTTGGTGCTACAACCCTAAGTTAAGCCTTGAACACTAAACCCTAAACCCGAATCCTTCGGGTTTGGGGTTTCGGGCCTGGGTCCCCCCCGTAAGTGGATGAAATCCAGCCCTGCAGCCACCTTCAAACCTTCAACTTCCAATTAAATTGGAACCTTATTGCCGAAGCCACAAGAGCCCTTGAAACCCTTCTGAACCCCCCCAACAAAAAAAAAGAAAACTACACCCCACACCCTAAACCCTAAGACCTGAACCCAAACCCTAAATAAACCTATAGACCCTAGACCCTAAACATCCCTAAACTCGAAACCCCTAGACCCTAAACCCTAAAACCTAAACCCTAAACCCTAAACCCCAAACCCTAAACCCTAAACCCTAAACCCTAAACCCTAAACCCTAAACCCTAAACCCTAAACCCTAAACCCTAAACCCTAAACCCTAAACCCTAAACCCTAAACCCTACCCACCCCCCACAGAATCGTCCCAGGGATGCCCAGAAGAACCTGCTCGTTGAGCTGGGCCTGGCGTACAGCGGCCTCGAAGGCCTCCTGCGTATTTGTTTTAGGGTTTAGGGGTTGGGGTTTAGGGTTTAGGGTTTAGGGTTGAGGGTTTCGGGTTTAGGGTTTAGGGTTTAGGGTTTAGGGTTTCCGTCCTGAATCGGGAGGCTCTCTCAACAGCCAGGGCAGTACGTACGCTTGTTTGGCGATTTCTGAGACATGGAATCCTGGGGTATAGTGCGCACACGACATCGCTAGTGAGAGGAGGGTGGGATGTTGATAAAGAAAAATGATGTGCAATACCTGGCTGAGCGCAGCTATGAAGCCTATTTCGGGTTTTAGGCTTAGGGAGTCAGATCGTGAACCCTAAAACATGCAGCTTGCCACGACAAGAGTACTCATGCTTCGGAACATGAAAGTCGCTCAAGATAGCCCCCCCTCAACGTCGTGGTAGCCCAGTGGTAGCCTTTCGCACGGTTTTGGTTCTAGGTTCCCCTATAGCCCCAAAAGGGTACCCTTATTACAATCTGGTTACTGGGCTGCCAAGACATAATTTAAGTGCACCTGTTGCGTGGTTCGCTTAGCTTGTGGGGCTTAGGGAGCCAAGAACTTAACTTGTTGGCAAGGTTTAGGCGACTTCGGGGCGTTAGGTTAAATGTCCCAACTGTTGCAAACCCCTAAACCCTAAACCCTAAACCCTATATCCTAAACCCTAAACCCTAAACCCTAAACCCTAAACCCTAAACCCTAACTAAACCCTAAACCCTAAACCCTAAACCCTAGACCCTAGACCCTAAACCCTAAACCCTACCGGCCGGCTTCAAGCCCGACCTGGAGTTGCCCTGTGCTACGATTTCAACTTCTTGTTTTGGGGCATTGGGGGGGGGGGGGGGGGTTTAGGGTTTAGGGTTTAGGGTTTAGGGTTTAGGGTTTAGGGTTTAGGGTTTAGGGTTTAGGGTTTAGGGGTTACGGTTTAGGGCTTGGGCTTTCAAGCACGCTTCCTTTCATTCAAGGGCTTGGGAATACGGTAGACACCAACTCCTAAACTCAAAAACCCAAAAGAAGCTCAAAGCAGGCAACTCTCAATCTCCTATACACCCTGAACTCCTAAATCCTAAGCTCCTAAACCCCAAACTCTTAACCCTAAACCCCAAACTTGAAGTCCCTAAACCCTAAACCCTAAATCCTGGCTTCTCTGGAGTGAGGTTTTGACGAAGCGGCTTCGGTTGGTCAGGCGCAGCTGGGCACGCAGATGCCCGGGGGCCCGGAGGAGAGGAGCCTCGCACGTGCAGGGCGGTTCAAGGAAAGGGTTTGGGGTTTAGGGTTTGGGGTTTAGGGTTTAGGGTTTAGGGTTTAGGGTTTAGGGTTTAGGGTTTAGGGTTTAGGGTTTAGGGTTCAGGGTTCAGGGTTCAGGGTTCAGGGTTCAGGGTTCAGGATTCAGTGTCCAGGGTTTAGGGTTTAGGGTTTAGGGTTTAGGGTTCAAACCCCGAACATACTCCGAGACCCCATGCCTTCTGAAACCCAACGAGCCACGTAACTCCAATACCCTCGAATAACTCCAAATAAGCCCTAAACCCTAAACCTAAACCCTAAACCCTAAACCCAAAACCCTAAACCCTAAACCCTAAACCCTAAACCCTAAACCCTAAACCCTAAACCCTAAACCCTAAACCCTAAACCCTAAACCCTAAACCCTAAACCCTAAACCCTAAACCCTAACCCTAAACCCTAAACCCTAAACCCTAAACCCAAACCCTAAACCCTAAACCCTAAACCCTAAACCCTAAACCCTAAACCCTAAACCCTAAACCCTAAACCCTAAACCCTAAACTCCAAACCAACCCTGAGCCACAAGCCTCCTTGAGGCAGAGCCAGCTTAAGAACTTGCTGGACTTTGCCGCAG